TTCAACACAAAGTGAATAGTAAACTCTTGTTTTACATAATTATATTCAATCATCATATTTAACCAGGCTTTATTTGTGACTTTAGCTGGGTTAGTACTGTTTTTTCATTGTTAATAGGAAAGCAAATAATTAGATGCACATCCTCTAACCTACTAGCACAAACGACTTAAGAACTAGGAGATCTAATGTCTGATAAATGGTTCTAGAAGGCAAGGAATAGTAATATAGCTCAATGATGCAAGGGAACAGGAACATAACGAGTTAGAATATGTTTACTTCAGAACATTTAGAGATAGACACTAGCATTCTCTAAACTATAGCCTTAAATCTCCTCTGTGTACACAAAGTAAAGTGAGTTTTATTATACCACTTAACTCAAATTTATCTTTCATTTCATTTATGTAGTAATTAAATGCTTATACTCAGTAATATAAGAAATGGTAATGAACCTCTTTGGAAAATTATATAGTTAAAGTGTTCCTAAATGTACAATAACTCTGCTCACTATCTCATTATTTTTCCCTTCACATACCTCTCTTGTAATTATTTCAGTGGTACCGAGTTCAGTGTGAGGAAGTTTATGCCTTGAATAGGCCGTTCATCATTAACGAGCCTCCACTATTACAATAGCAATACGGAGACCATCCGTCCCTTCATCTCCCAGAACGTCATGCTGGATGTCTTAGTTCTATAAATACTTTGCCTTGACATTTGCATTATACCAGCTGATCATTATCATGCCCTCATTTTCTATTTCCAAATTTCTATGACCTTCAACATTAGGTACATGCTATTCAGAAATGTTTCTCCAGGGTCAGATCTTTTTTCCTTAAGCAATTTATTTTTAACAACTTTCAACAAATCCCACTTCTCCAGCTTCCCCATCAGGCAATCAAGATTCCTTTCTGCTAATGTGCTCAAGCGAGAAATGAAACAAGAATACCCACTCAACTAGGGCTTCCCAGGGGCACCAGTGGTAAACAGCCCACCTGCCAATGCAGGAGACATGAGACGTGGGTTCGATCCCTGGGCTGGGAAGATGGGTTGCCATTCCCTCCTCCATGGGGAATGGCAACCCATTCCAGTATTCTTGCCTAGTGAATCCCCATGGACAGAGGAGCCTGGTGGGCTATAGTCCATAGGGTTGCAAAGAGTGGGACATGACTGAAGTGACCGAGCACGCACACACACGCTCAACCATGTAGCAAAATCCTCACTTCTACTGAAATTAAGGAAAATGCTTCCACTTCTGTGTACTGGGTCCTCACACACATTTCATGTCATGTTTTAGGGCAGTTGTCTGGACTAAATGCTTGTTTTCTCCTTGATAGAAATATTAGGATCAGAACCAGCAAGGCTGTGACTGAGAGATTAAGCTATATTCATGAGAGAAGCTATTTATCCCCAGGAGTAAAGTTAGAGAAGTTATAGGCAGTGATATCTGAATGCCGGGCTTTGTAAGAAGGAAGAATTATGACTTTCTGCAGCAAAGCAGTTCTAGAAAGCTTAGAAACTGAGCTTGAGGCCCTCAGGTCTGTTAGCTCCATGGAAGAATTTAAGAGTTGAGTATTTACAAGGAAGGATCAAAATAGGGAGGAAGACATTTTCTCAGTGAGGAATTCTCTCCGTAATCATCTCATCCTATATTTGAAACACATATAATTATGAGGTCCTACGAACACCTCAGGGGAGGCAATGGTGGCTGTAACAACCCCTCCAAGGGCATAAGGAACGGCCCCACAGAAGTGAGCCGGCCTGAAGGGTCGCCTGGCCCAACTTGGCAGGTCTCCATTTAGCAGCGGCCTCACATGAGAACGCTCTATTCCACCTTCTGTTGCTGCTTCACCCCATTAACTGAACTAAAGAAATGCACTTGACACCTAGGCTGGGCAATCTCATTTAGCCCCAAGGACTGCAAAAGTACTAACACTGTTAATTGAGGCATTTCAAACTAAGCCAAATGCCACACTCCTCTCAGGGCAATAAGCCTCCCTCCATTACTGTTCATGGGCCCCGTGGGAAAGTGTGTTCACACAGACCAAATGTGTCCCATTCCGGTAACAGAGTTGAAAAGGAATGTGTTGCTCTACTACCCTTTTAATGCCAAAGCCTTCCCTTCTCCATCCTATTCCCCTGCTGTCTCCTGACTGCTTTCAACTCTTTCATAATAGAAAAGTAAAAGTGCAACTATAAACCTCGACCTACAATGCAATTTTTCAAAGTTCCAAATTTAAGCATCTGAAATTTAAAAATGATGCAATTGCCTCTTGATAACTATTAAAACTAGAAATGACACAATTGCCTCTTGATAACTGTCTATGGTAACTCTCTCTGTGAGAAATGGACACAAAGTCCAGGTGGACCCTCTCTGGGCAGCGCTGGAAGCTCTGATCTATGGGAGGAGGTGGAGGGGAAAGGGACTTACTAACTCACTGAGCAGAAGGTTCACATATCTACTGCCTTCAGCAGCCTTGGCTGATAGACTTTGTTGTCAGAGAAAACAATCTAAAAGCACTGCTGTAGCAGATTTTGAAAAGTTAAGCTTTATTTTGCTTTATCGTGATTGATTTGGTTTTCTTTGGTTTCCTGAAGCTGCCACATGGTTTTCTGCCCCATACAAGAGAAATGTGAGGCCCTAAACTTATCTCCAATTCTTGGATACATCGCACCCTAGTTTTGTGATAACCCAGACTTCTTTCCCTCTACAAGGTTTTCTGGACTGGAGGTTATATAGATTGAATGAACTTTCTAAAATGAAAAATCCAAGTCATTTCCTCTCACTTTTTTGTGGTGTTTCCTTAACTGTGACAATTCCTATCAACGAGGCCCCGTTCAGCATACTGCAGACAAAGGAGTCAGGGAAGGGCTGACTGGCACTGTGAGGACACTTACTCCACTAACTGGTGATAACCAAGGGAATTCGAACAAATATCCTGCACATGTGAGATGACCGAGATTCTACCTTTGAGTTTAGTTGTAGCAGGAAGCTCAGCTGCCAACAGCTCCAGTCACAAGTGTGTTTTGAGTTTTACTTTCAATAATAATGGCTGCCATGTGCTCGGCACTAACTTACTCGATATGAGACACTGTGCTGAATACTTTGCAAACACTATTTCATTTGATGCTGGCAAAGAGTCCTATGAAATAGGTACTATCTTTACCAGTGTGCAAAAATAATAATAATAATAATCCCATGAAGACTTTTCTCAGAGAGAAACTTGAAACACACACGTTTAGCCAGTCTCCCTTGCCCTTGCCCCATGTCACAATTCAGTAATCCTGGTGGCAAGAGATAAGCAAAATCAATGCAGGATGTTTTACCAATAGTCCCACCTAGAGGCAGGAGGATGAATAAACTAGAAAATATTTTTTGTTTCTTCCAGAAGGGTTCCATTAGATCTTGAATTTCTATTCATATTTTTATCATTTTTCATATTAGATTTTTGCAAGCTGTAACAAAGAAAGAATGAAATTGGGTCTACTGAAGATGTCAATGAAACTACTATGGGGTTAAAACAAAAAGAAGTGGGGCTAGTCCCAAAACTGTCTGTTTAATCTCCAGTGAGTCGCTAGATATATTCCTGGTAAATGTCAGAATAAACACATCCACAAAGACTCCTAAGGTTATATGATTTTACTATTCCTATAGAATTTTATCTAAAGAGAAGTTTCTTCCCCTCTTAGACTTCAAATTTTTTATACATCAAGATCTCTCCAGTAAGGTCCCACAACCACTCCCATCAACTGAAATATCTATTAATGTTTTTAATGGTAATCAATACTTAGCCCATGGAATATTTTTGATCTACCATTGTTTAGATATTCACATGTACAATTATTCCTATGAAGTCTCACCTCAGAGGACCAGCTGATCCCAAGGAATTATCCCAGAATGATGGATGTGTAATAATTTAATCTTAAACCTGGATAGTTCAGTCTTGGGTAAGGCTTCTCTTAGCTGCTTGATTGTGGAGGAAAGATGAATGTGGAAAGATGTTAATATATCCAGGGCAACCAACACAGGACTTAAACACAGGCCTGACACCAAAGCCCATGCCAGTGTGTTTTTCAAAAAGTAGACTGAACTGCCTGTGTTACAATCATAGGGGATGCTTATCAAAAATATAGATCCCTGGGTCTCACCAAAGAACCACAGAGTTAGAATCTCGCGGTGGATACTAGGCCTCTTTATTTACCAAGCATCCCTGTGATTGTTAACATACAGAACCATTCCACTTCCTGATGCTGCAGGAGAATAACAGTGCACAGAATATGGGGAGTGTGTGGGAATGGGGTGCACAGGGCTCTGATGATTCTTCTGTAATCCCTGAGCAATCTCAGGGTTTCAAAGATGACCCTCGTCGCCTTGGCGCATTCAAGACGGGTCCATAACAGGATTTTCTGTTATCTGTGGTCACATGGCCATGAAGTTTGCAGTATTCACAAGTCTCCAAAGACAATTTGGCGCAGGGGAAGAAAGGATGGAGGTAGGCATGGAATAAAACAAGAAAGTGAATTTGACAATTTTATTGGAGAAAGTTGAAAGGCTCGTTGCAGGGCGGAGCCTGCAACTGATCAAAAACAGTGAGGCAGGGAAAAGATGGGAACTTGCCCCAATCCTTGCCTAGTTTCCTCAGGCTTTCATGGATGTTGTCATCCACTGATTGATTACTGTATTCCCTGTTGTATAAATGCTTAGCAGCAACTCATTAAAACAAAACAAGAACTCTTCCAGCAGGGTTAAATGCTTCTTTAAAAGTCTGTCCAAAAGATTCACAGCTTAAAATTCAGCTCACCACTTTTCACAACTCACATATTCTATAGAAAACTCAAAGGCATGAAGATGAGAAGGGAAGTGACAATAATGCTCAAGGCTAGAAGTACTATTCATTTGAAAAGAATGCTCTTTTGAATCAGTGGACCGTTGTTCCGCCAGGTTTCTGTCTGGGTGGTTCTGAGATGGCTGTGATGGTTCTGAGGTGGATGTCTCTCTCCCCCAGTCTCAGGAGGCTCAGGTGCTGAAACAACTGGCGGAGAAGCGGGAACATGAGCGAGAGGTCCTCCAGAAGGCTTTGGAGGAGAACAACAACTTCAGCAAGATGGCGGAGGAGAAGCTGATCCTGAAGATGGAACAAATCAAGGAAAACCGTGAGGCGAATCTAGCTGCTATTATTGAACGTCTGCAGGAAAAGGTAATCGTAACAGAGAACCAAGCAGATGCACACTCATATGCAACACACAGCGAGTGAATTCTCAGATACCTGGCATCAGAGACTTAATCAAACTGCTGCAGGTGCGGAAGGCACCTAACCCCATAGGCAGGGTCTCCTGCTCTGCAGTGTGGTTGAGGAATATAAGTGTCTTACAGCTGGAATTCTCTCAGGTTTTCCAGTAGTGAATAAACTGAGGGAGGCCGATCACTGCTTTTCAAATGTATAAAAGGCTTCAGTACAAATCTTTGAAACTCACCTACTGGAAAAATATTAAATTGGAAATGTTAACTATTTCATATAAACAATAATACATAATAATATGATTAATATTTTTAAATAATATTATTATTATAAAAATAATAATATAAAATAATGTATTTAATATTTTTTCTAATGTTTAATTAATATATAATATTAAATATGTAACTTATGGTCAAAATATATTTGGACATGTTTCCATACATTTGGAAAAATATATTTGTCAAAAGAGGACAGAATATTTATGAATAGTGGAAAGCCCATGTAGGAAAATCTATGTGGAAAACTGGGCTTCCCTTGTGGCTCAGTTGGTAAAGAATCCACCTGCAATGTGGAGACCTGGGTTGGATCCCTGGGTTGGGAAGATCCCCTGGAGGAGGGAAAGGCTACTCACTCCAGTATTCTGGTCTGGAGAATTCCATGGAAGGGATAGTCCATGGGGTCGCAAAGAGTCGGACACGACTGAGCGACTTTCAAAAAAAAAAAAAAAACATGGAAAACTAGTAGAGGAAGTTCATTACCTACAGACTGGCACCCTGGTATTTTTCTTCTCATCAGTCTGAATATATGATTGCCATCCCCTTCAGTCAGGATGAGCAGTACTGAAGATCCTCTGGAAATTGTTCTCTCAGAACTATAATATCTTTTATTCAGGATAATTGTGAATCAACCTTCATCTCTCATCCTAGGCCCTAAAAAAATAAAATAAAATGGCATTGCTAGGAATGGGGCATGCTGATCTTATCCAGGATTGGCGATTAGACCTCTAATCTCCAGTGCAAGATTTATCTCACTCCACGACAATCCAGGAGCATTACTGTTTTTTTAAAATTACACACACTCAAACACCCAGCACATCCTTCTTGATTTCAATTGTAAAAGAGGTCATAAAATTTGCATATTTAACTAGTATTTCCAGAAGTGTTGATTTTTAATGGGCAATTTATTTTTCTCTGCATATTTATCTTCACCCACCCACCCCCTTCCACCAGCTCCTTTTTCTCTCTTACCACTCTCACCCAGAATCAGGCTCCTCCATACATACATACATACGTTCATATATATATGCAAGAATACATACAATTTGTCCTATAAATATTCAGCCCATGGAATTCTTAATATTTACATCAAGCTGCAGAATCTCCATAGGTGGGACTCAGGCAACCATATTTCTTTTTAACTCTCCAGATGATTCTAGTACAAAGCCAGGTCTGAGAACTAGTGGTTTGTAGTCTGTTCTGATATAAATCTCAGCTGACAGCTTTCTATCTTGTGCTGAATTATGCAGCTCACATCATCTGTAGGGCCACATTTTCCCTTATTCCACAGCTAGTGACATTTTTCAAATCTAATAGAACCTCTGACCAGTGACAGCCAAGATCTGTTATCTTCTCAGTAAAGTGGAGATACTCCTTAGAGAATACCAAATTTACTCCCATTTGATGTATTTTAAATACACTGTTTTTTGTTTGCATATGGTGTATATGTTTGTATATACTAAAACTACTTTCATTATGGCCAAAAGCTAGCCTTTTGTCTGAATGAAATTACTACAGTGAAGTTAGAATTAAAATGAGGGTCAATAATACTACTGAAAGTGTATGAAACTACCAATATAACATAAGCTCTTCTGGAATCTCCCACATCAAAAGATGGTCATTACTGAAATGGCACCTCTTAGTAAGTTGTCATGAAGTGACCACACTAAGTGCCTTTTATACATTTTAATTCCCCACCGTTTTGACAGTCTTCCCTGGCCCTACCAATTAGCCAAGAGACATGATAAAATTCCACATGAGGTTTTGCAACAATCTGCCTCCCACCCCGCCTTCAGCCCCCTCCTCCTTAGTGAAGTGAGCTGAACAGAGCCTGTCCCTCAGGGTGACTACAATGGTGTCCTCCATGTTATTCGCTCATGAATTCCCACAAACCTCTCAGAGTCCCAGCCACGTTAGCTCAGAGCCTTTATAAAGCTCATGTTCAGTTGCTCAGTTGTGTCCGACTCTTTGTAACTCCATGGACTGTAGCCTGCCAGGCTCCTCTGTCCATGGTATTTTCCAAGCAAGAATATTGGAGTGGGTTTCCATTTCCTTCTCCAGGTGATCTTCCTGAGCAAGGGATCCAACTCACGTCTCTTGCATCTCCTGCATTGGCAGGAGGATTATTTACCACTAGGGAAGCCCCTCAAATCCTTTAGCTGAAAGCCTAAAACAAAAGCAGTTCCAGTTGCACCTTAGAACCTCCTGAAGAGCTCTTTTAAATGAGAGCTTCTGATGTAATCATCTGGGGCAGAACCCAGAGATCAGCATTATTTTCAAAGCTTACCAGAAGACACTGGTTGGATGGCATCACCAACTCAATGGACATGAGCAAACTCTGGGAGACAGTGAAAGACAGGGAAGCCTGGCATGCTGCAATCCATGGGGTCGCAAAGAGTCAGGCATGACTTAGCATCTGAACAACAAAGTAGACACTTGCATTTAGCCAGAGTTAAGAAACTCTTGAGTTAAAGGCTTCTTAAATGTTTTATTTTGTTTGTCATAAGTTATCTTCAAATATTTTCATCTTTGTTCCATAAAAGTGTTCTTTCTTCCTTCAAAGAATAATGTTAAACTCTTTTTTATATATATTACTATTTGTTTATTGAATAAATGAGCAACCATAAAAATATAAAAGCACCAACATGTAAATAATATGTAGGGAAATACTGTGTCTATATGGTTCACCACTGAACGCACAGCACCTAGACTGTTGCTTGACACAGAGGAAGAACTGCACAAATATTTTTGAATACATACATACACATCAATGCCTACATACATAATTTAGCTCATGGTCCCTCTTCTCTCATTGTTCTTTTCCCAGGATTCCTCCTGCCTCCCACAATTTCCACTATCTCCTGTATGAGAACTTACCCTCATGACTATTAATCATTAGGTTAAGAATTATTAATGATAATAAATGTAGTTGTAATGATGCTACATTTACCAAACACATATTATGACACATATTAGCTTTGTGCTCAGTACAGTTTTGAATGTTACTCTCCTTCTAAGTTTCCATCTCTCTTTCCTTAGCACTACATCTTAACACTCCCACTTATACAGAAAAGAGTCAAATGAGGAGGCTGTGGACAAAAAGATATTTGTGCCACAAAGACCTACAGTAGGCTGATAAGTTTTTGTCACTCAAATTGATATAAACAGTCATGCCCAGGCCACAATAATGTTACCTGGGGATTATGACAAACACTGAGGTGAAATTGAAAATGTTCTTATTCTTTGAATTTCTATTTCTAAAAAAGAGGGAGAGGGGGAACACCATGCAGAGAGGATAAGAGACTCTTTTTCCCTCACCCAACACTTCTTTCTTCCCCTCAGAAGACTACATCCCTCAGAAAGTTCACCGTTTGACACATTAGGCACCATGAGTAGTAGCAGCTTTGTTATCAAACCCAACCAGGAACTGAAGTGAATAGTTAATCATGAAAAATCAGTTAAGGCAGGTCTAATCATTTTAACAATACATATATTCATTAAGACTTCCTCGATGGCTCAGCGGTAAAGAATCTGCCTGCAATGGAAGAGATGTGGGTTCAACCCATGGATCTGGAAGATCCCCTGGAAAGGAAATAGCAACCCACTTCAGCATTCTTGCCTGGGAAATCCCATGGACAGAGGAGCCTGACAGGCTACAGTCCATGGGGTTGCAAAACAGTCGGACATGACTTAGCAACTAAATAACACAACGTAGATGATAACTAGATTTAGGAGATAGGATGAGGAACATGGAGGGAATGGGGAATACTAACTAACCTAGCAGGTCATTTAAGAGGATTTCTAATGAATCTTGTTGAAATCTTCTCTTAAACCAATTTGTAAAATGTCTTGGTTTCAAAATTTTACTGAGTCATTCACTAGCCAATGCCAAGACCTGCCAGCCTGAAACTTTGTAACAAATACTGAAGGAGTTTTAGGTGTTTAGGAGTGAAAGAATAAAAAAAGAAAAGAAAACAGACTTCCTTGACAACTACTACACCTTATTCAACCACAAAGTACAGAAATTAAGCAGTTTCAATGTAATTGATACTTTCACCTCCAACAATGGATGAAAGGTCAAGTGAAAGCATTATAGTTACTATTTTAGTGATAATAGTGTTACTCATATGACTTAGTTTAAAAAGATAAAAAGTTTTTTAAGAGAGTAAGATTCTTTGATATTTTATCTCAGAGATAATTTTGATAACAGATAACTGTTAGGTAGAGATTTCAACCATTATCAATTTCCATTTATTGTAACCTTTCATCCTTCTTATCTGATATTTGGGTTTTGGTGGGGGTGGGGGTTGTCATTCTGACTCACGAGTGACATCTGTGTAACTATTTCCTACGAAATATGTCTGATAAATGAATCATGAAAGGAAAAAGCATTAAAACAATCCTTCATTGATTTCTCATTGTAAGCCAGGTATTTGGCACATACTATGGAATTTAATTCCAGAAGGAAATCCTGTAATCATCCCCATTTCACATCTAAGGAACCTGGTCTTAGAGAAATCAAGCCATTTAGTCAAGATCACAAAGCTAAGGACATCGGAGTCTGAACAAATCTCTCTGACTCCGAATGTTTATGCTAAGTAAAAACTGTAACTTGTGCCAACTCTGCACAGTAAGCAGACTGGCAGCAGCATTGGAAGTTTATAGTGCTCCCATGATCAGCATCATCTTCAAGAATGAAAATACTTTCCTTCACTCCTGACTCACTCCTGACCCCTCTTAGTTATTATTAAAGAGAAGGATTCTGATGATATCTCGTCTTGCAGTTAAATATTCACATAATAGGATTTCATGGATTCTAATTGATACACTAGGTCATCTAGTTCAAGTGCTTGTTTAAATTTGATAACTAGAAAGGAAAAGGGATATTAAAAGGTTAAAAAAAAAAAAAAGAACAACCAAAAAAACCCCCAAACCTCACATTTCTTAGCTTCCAGTACAGAAATCTCTCTAATCATATTTTCTCCACAGAATCAGAATGTTTCCTAAAACTACCTTTTACACATTTTTCATATCAAAGGAATAGTTGCATTCCATGGTAAAAACACTATTATATTGATGGGAGGGAGGGGATAAACTGCAGAGAACATTGTAATTTTAGATCTGTTTCAGTCTGTCTAACCCAGTGCGTGTCTGACAATGCCTGGCAAGTATGACAAGCTCAATAATGAAATGAATATTATCAAAGAATAGACTTGACCTTTTGATGAGCTTTCTCAGAGTATCACAGTTGCCTAAGTAACCTCTGATTTAAGGTCTTCTGACAATTACCAAATGGGTATATCTTTCCCTTTCTCCTTTGCCTTTAGCTTCTCTTCTTTTCTCAGCTATTTGTAAGGCTTCCTCAGACAACCATTTTGCCTTTTTGCATTTCTTTTCTTGGGGATAGTCTTGATTACTGCCTCCTGTATAATGACAGAAATCTTTATCAGATCTAATCCCCTGAATCTATTTGTCACTTCCACTGTATAATCATAAGGGATTTGATTTAGGTCATACCTGAATGGTCTAATGGTTTTCCCTACTTTCTTCAGTTTAAGTCTGAATTTGGCAATAAGGAGTCCATGATCTGAGCCACAGTGAGCTCCTGGTCTTGTCCTTGCTGACTGTATAGACCTTCTCCATCTTTGGCTACAAAGAATATAATCAATCTGATTTCAGTATTGATCATATGGTGATGTTCATGTGTAGAGTCTTCTGTTGTGCTATTGGAAGAGGGTGTTTGCTATGACCAGTGCATTCTCTTGGTAAAACTTTGTTGGCCTTTGCCCTGCTTCATTTTGTACTCCAAGACCAAATTTGCCTGTTACTCCAGGTATCTCTTGAGCTTCCTACTTTTGCATTCCAATCCCCTATGATGAAAAGGACATCTCTTGGGGATGTTAGTTCTAGAAGGTCTTGTAGACAATTACCAACATTTTGCTGATTGAAAAAAATAGACTATGCTGAAAATGATAAGCCCACTGCATATCTCTATTTGATTCTCCCATATTTTTACATGGAATTGCATTACAATTTTAAGTATATATTTGATGATTTGAATATAAAATTTTCAAATAACAGACTTACTAAAATACCTGAGAATAAACTATTTTTCCTCAGAGCACAGCATTTAAATTTCCTGTTTCTCTTTTTTATTTTTTCAGTTCACAGATTATATTTGTTCTCTCCTATGGCAAAATCTATCTCTTTACAACTAATTTTTTAAGTTGAGTAGGAAGTGTGCTCCCAAGTAGCCTAATAATACTAATTATAATCTTTCCTGCTATATTGTAAATTTGGGTTTACATGAATCTTTAGACTTGAAGCTGGTTTTTTCCCTAGCATAGTGATGGTCTGGGCTTTTTCTCAATTTTTGTCAGAACTGAGCTCTTACTAATTAGTTTCTTCCTGCATGAGGAAAAGATTTTACAGCATCTTTTTCCTTATCAGAGCAGAACAGAAAGAAGGATGAGTCAGCTGCATCCATGCTAATTCCCCCGTGACATTTCCAAACAGGACATGATTTCTCTGTGCATGCTTTTTTCCCCTTCTCTGCATGGCTTTTGAATGCAGACAAAAAGCTCATTTAAACCAATTACATAAAATTGCTTTTAAACTCTTTCTCTAGAATCAACTTGCTGCTTACTGTAATTCTGTATTTTTGAAGGAAGTGTATGGCTATATATATATGCCTTTTTCTCCCAGAACCTACATTTGAAAAGACACAGTTTTTCCACAAAACTATGAAATTTTCTCTGCGCACTCACACTAAGACTACATAGCGGTGGTTGAGGGGTGGGGTTGGCTGCAGAGTCAGGCTCTCTGAGTTTAAGTCTCAGCTCTGATGCTTGTTGGTTATGTGATCTTGAGCAAGTGACTTAGTCTTTTTGTGCCTCAATTTCTTCATCTGTACAATGGGAGCCATAATAGAGTCTCCATCACAGGACTGTTGTGACAATCAAGGGAATTAATACAGGTAAAATCTGTGCTTATACAGAACTGTACACATGTTAAGTGACTAGTAAATGCTGAGTATTAGAAAGAATCTATAAGCAAAGACTTCTTGAGATCAATAGAGCTTAATGATAAGATTTACTTTATGGCTGGTCAACTAAATCCCTAAACTAAAGGAATTTGTAGAGCTACAAGAAATTTCTGGAGCTACAGGGGGGAAATAGCAATATAAATAATATTCTAAATAGAAAATAAATAATAATAATTATTATCATTTTAAATTTTAATTTAATAAATATTTAGCTCCTATAATAGGCAAGGGGCTAAATTAAAATTGAAAAATACTAATTATTATCACCATTTATTTTTCTGTTTAGAATATTACTTATACCTACCAACACTTAGTTAGCCCCTATAATGCACAAGGGGCTTCCCCAGCGGCTCAGTGATAAAGAATCCCCCTGCCAATGCAGGAGATGTGGGTTCAATCCCTGTTTCAAGAAGATTCCCTGGAGCAGGAAATGGCAATGCACTCCAGTATTCTTGCCTGCAAAATCTCATGGACAGAGGAGCCTGGTGGGCTACGGTCCTCGGGGTCCCAAAAGAGTCAGACATAACTTAGAAAATAAACAATAATAGGTAAAATCATGTGCTCAGAAGAATGATGTACTAAAAATAGCATTCCACTAAAAATAGCATTGCCTATCAACTCCCTCCTCAGAAAGTTTAATAAGTTTAGTAGCTCAGTTTCTCATGTAAACAAACATTCATTGATCATATACTATATGCAAAACACTCTGCTGGGCCCTGCAGGTGGAACAAAACTGAAAAAATACAGCCCTGGCCTTAGCATATGCTAGCCCTGGCTCGCCAGCAGCAATGCCCAAAGTACAGGTTAGAATAAAATGGCTGCCCCATGAAAGAGAAGATTTATGCACATTTTCAAATGAGAAGTGAGATAGTTTTCAGTCTCATGAAAATCTTCATGAAGAAAGAGACAACCACTACAGGGATTTAAAGAGTCTTCTCCTGACGGATGGAGATGAAAGACTAGGAATCTCAACAATTTGAAAATCTCATGACAATTCCATTAAACTAAAAGATCAAGTAGGTGTAGGTAAAGGGTAGAGGGTAAGGTTGGAGAGATCATTTGGAGGACTCAAGTTTTGAAAGACTGATTAGAAGTTAAGAATTTAGGAAGCATACATAGGGTCTTCTTCCTACATCTCGTCCTCCCAAAGTGTCCATTGTCAATTATAAATCCCTTAAAGTGTTAGAGAAAAGGAAAAAGACCGTCAAAAATAATAGAGAAAACAGTGTGCTATTTTATTGCTATTCTGATGATTTATACAGTAGTCCTAATAGTCAAAATTCTCTTAACCATATGATCGTTTTGTCATTATTTTAATCAAATACAATGGCAAATTTTTTAAAAGACAGAGGAGACTGTATGGTATTTTATTGCTGTTCTCTAGATTTAGACAGTCCTGAGAGTCAAAATTCTCTCAATCAAAAAAGAAAAAAATGAAAAAATTGTCCTAATCATGTGATCTTTTGATCACTGTTTTCATCAAACACAGGGATAGTTTTTTTATAGACACTATTAGTCTTCCATGGTCTTCTGTGACAAGATGCTTACTGGGTTCCATGTTTTACTTTCTTGTGAAATGAGAACGTTGTCTCCTAAAGGTAGGCACTAAATGGGAAGGAGCTGAGGTTGGGGGAGGAGGAGCTACTTTCTGTCAAGCGCATAGTATGTAAATTAGTGGGCGGGCTCTCCTTCTCTGTGGACCCGCGAGGCCGTGACGTCTCTCCTCCCTCTGGTGTTTTTCAGGAGAGGCATGCGGCGGAGGTGCGCAGGAACAAGGAGCTGCAGGTCGAACTGTCTGGCTGAAGCGACGGAGGGTATGGCACGCCCCACCACTAGTAAATCCCCCTGCCTATATTATAATGGATCATGCGATATCAGTATGGGAAATGTATGACATGGTTTAAAAAGAACTCATTATAAAAAACAAAAAACAGAATCAAAAATAAAAAAAAAAAATCAATGCAGTCTCTTTGCAGAATGTTTTGCTTGATGTTTAAAAAATACCTTGGATCTTATTTTGTAAATACTTACATTTTTGTTAAAAAATACAAGTATTGCATTATGCAAGTTATTTCATAATCGTACATGCCCTGTAACAGGCTTTCGATGTTGTGTCTTTCCACTCAAATGAATTTGCTAGGTCTGTTCTTTTGGAAGCTCCCCACGTCTGACTCCATTCCCTGCCCTTTACATTCCAACAGAGAAATGAGGTCAGTAGACAGTCTTTGGTGCTAGAAACCCACCATTGCCTAATGACCTAGACAGCTTGGTAATCTTTGGACTTGACTGAGGCCATACTAACATCACAGGTATTATAACTCTGCACAAACCACCACATTTGTTCGCTCATAATCTACTGCCTAGAAACTACAAAACCAGGCTAAGTAACACCACTACTCGTAGCATTTACTTTTGCTTCTACTGGATTATGTGCTACAAGTGTGCTTTGGCTTTAGAAAGGGATGGATGAAAAAGACAGATCTGAGATCAATCTGGGTAGAAGCAAAAAGCTGAACCTTTTAAAGCACTGAATACAGATCCCAATCCAAATGGTTCAAGCAGCCGTGAAATCGCTTTTCATGAAGTGGGCTTAATTCTCTAGTTTAAGTTCTTTTGATGGAATGAATTAATGTGTCAGGTGGCTTATTTGTGGATGCCATGATTGATGATGTTCATTTTAAGCTCTTACCTATAGTACAAGTACATGATGCTACTGAATATTTTTCCACTTGGAAACTGTGAGCTGGTTGTTGCATTCAAACACACACACAAACACAATCAAAAACACTGTGGATTTTCACTTAAGCTGGTCTTTCTTCCCCAGTGTGAGGCAATCCTGCCTATTAAAAAAAAAAAAATTTACACCATCTGTGAGGGCTGATGCAGTCTAGGGGGCTAGGCAGGGCGTTTGTGCCAACTAAGAGAATCACCAAATACCCACCGTGAGTACCTATCGCAGTTTTGAAGTCGTTTCTCCCCCAACTCCCAACTCCTGAAGGTTGCTGCCTGCATATTTACTCTTCATTAGTGCTATTTTCCTGTATGTCATTGTGAGCAAGCTGTGATTAATAAAGAATTGGAGTTCTGTGAACTAATACAGGTTTGGTCTGTTCTCTTGCCCCTCTCTGTGTCTGACCCTGGAGTTCAGATTTTACAAGTGTGGCTGTTGGATTAGACAGTCTCAGAAACAGACAATAATTAGAGTTTGGAGGAAACCAGGGCCCCTGCTGATTCACTTCCCTTCTAGAGCAGCAGGAAGCGTCACTTTTCTCTCTCCTTCTGACAGCCCAACCCAGCGGGAGAAGTCTTCAATCTGTTCCCCTTGAAAACAGTCAAGATTGAAGGAGACACCACGGTTTCAGACCAGTAAGTCTCTCAAAGTGCTTGGAAGTTTCCTGGAACAGCCTCACATTCTCCCACGCAGCCACTGGACACCTTCCGCAGCCTGTTAAGATGCAATTTCCCCACCATACTGCTGAATTTTGCACTGCCAATAAACACTGCACACATGGACACAGCAGGGGGCCTGTCAGTGACCCAGATGGATCCTGCAGGGCCAAAGGAACCACATCCAGTTTTAGCAGAAAATCATAAATAATTGAAACCACACAGACTTATGAATAAGCAAACTGGGCTGTCATCCATAGGAGTGCTAACAAGCCAAGTTTAAGGTGGAGGCCACCTGGTCCCTATCTTGAATATCCTTTATTTGTGGGAATCTAATACTGCAACCATTGATACGCATCCTTAAAAACATGAATTCCATGACCTTCCTTTGAAATCAATCAGAGCTTCTGATGAGCAGAAAATAAGCTGTATTTTCACAGTGATACTTTTCCCTTATTTATTTACTATTTTTTTATTAAAATACAGTTTGATCTAAAAATAAATAAAAAATAAAATAAAATACAGTTTGATCTACAACAGTATGTTAGTTTCAGGTGTACTACATAAAGGCTTGACATTTGCATACATTATAAAATGATCACCACAGAAAGTCTAGTAACCATCTGTCCCCATACAAAGATATTACAGTATTATTGATTGTATTCTTTGTGCTATATGTTACATCCTTGTGGCTTATTTATTTTCTAACTAGAGGTTTGTACCTCTTAATCCTCTTTACCTATTTCACACACCCCCAACTTCCTCCCCTCCAGCAAGCACTCACTTGTTCTCTGTATCTATGAGTTCTCACAGTGATTTTTATTTCAGTTTGGAAAACATTACTTGAAGGGCTTCCACTGGGCCAGAGCCGATGATTAAGCCCTGGGAATATGAAAACAAATCACTGCGAGAAGCATAGTCTCATAACTTGTTTTAGCCCAGAAGTGCTCAGTCCTCGAAACATATTGAGGGAAAGCATAATCCCATCAGTTCTCTGAAGCTTTCTGAAATATTAGAAATGATCAACAAACTCCTGCTACTTAGTCTGTGGTGCCTAAACTGGAGCTGCCAACCAGTCTGCTGCCTAGTCTCAAAGATGAAGAAACTAAGGCCCTGAGAGGGAGAAGTGATTTTGCTCCAGGTCCCAACATCCACTTCTCACAATTAAACTCCTTACTAGTAAATAGCTCATCAGCAGACCATCCCCAAATCTCACCACAGCGGAGCAGACAGGTTATTTCTATGGACTTCCCTAGACCAGTGGTCCTCATTTTAGCTTCATTTATGCTTCAGAGTCCTATCTGGAGGGTTTGTTTAAGAGAAAAGCAGGTGAGCTTCTGATTCCTGGAATCTGTAGAAGCCTGGGGATGTGCACTCTCTCACGGTCTCAGGTGACACTAATGCTCCTTGTCTGCACACCCACTTGAGAAGCCCAAGACAAACAATGAAATGGACCTAGGGAGTGGAGATTCTTGGTGGCAGCCACACTGAGAGCATCTATTTCAGTCAGGGCATGTTCCACTGGGGAGTGGGGTGGCCATGAAATGAAACATTCAATCCCATTCAAAAAAGTGGGCGTGGAACACAAAGGAATCCAAGAAGAAGAAAAAATGAACAACTACACTTGCAAAATACTAAAAGGAGAAAGCAAGCACCCAGGGGCTGGAATAGGGTTAAGAGACAAGTGAGGTCAGGGAACCAATGGTCTTGTGTCTCTCATACAACATATGGTTTCAGTAGGGTTTCCTAGTGTCTCAGACAGTAAAGAGTATGCCTGTAGTGCAGGAGACCCAGGTTCAATCCCTGGGTCGAGAAGATCCCCTGGAGGAGGGCATGGCAACTCACTCCATCTTGCCTGGAGAATCCCCATGGACAGAGGAGCCTAGAAGGCTACAGTCCATGAGATCGCTAATTGTTGGACACGACTGAGCTACTAACACACACTGAAATACCTGGAGATGCTCCTGTCCCTTTAAGAGATGAACTAAGAGCTCTGTAGAGATGGTGCCATTTTGTGAAATATGCACAGTTTATTTGCCTGGTTACTCTTACAGATTTTTTTTTCATGGAGTCTTGATTTCCTCAGGACTACATTTAAATTGTGCATACGACTTTGAACTGTTCTTTAAAGAAAACTCACATAATCCCATTGATTTGAAGGTTCACCCTCCTCGCATCTCTTCTAGTCTCAATAATATGTGAAACAGTAGAGGACTGGTAAATGTGATTCTCCTCCCTGGATCAGGCGCCATCAGACTTTACAACATTTCAGAGGAGAAGGCAAGGGTAAAAGTGTGCTGATCATCATACTCCACCCCTGCCACCACTCCTCCCACTGAAGGAGAGAATGAGAAGGGGGAGACGTGCCACCCTTGACTTGAGCAATTAAAGGATCATTCCCAGGATATGACGAAACAATCATCCTTGATTTCTAATCAGGCAATTTGCTGAAAACTACTAAGGCAAACATGGATGCTAAAGCAAAACTAACATCCCCAAGCTCCCCCAAATCATCTCAGATCATCTTCGATTTTTCACGTCCCCACCACACACCTCCAAATGATCAAGTAGCACTGATTGACCTCCAAGTTGCTCCTCTTTCCTTGCGCTTCGACTTCCATGACCACTGCCCTAACCTGGATACTATTAGACTCTTAAAGCAACCAACTAATAAGTCTCTTTTGCTCCAATCTATAGCCTCCTCTACACTCTGATCAAATCTCTCCCATAATCCACTACCTCCTCCCCTTTATCATCAGGATAAAATCTGCATTTCTGTAAGTGTCATTAAAGTGTTCTCACCATTCCTTTCTTTTCTCAAGTACGTTACTCTCCTAAGACATCAAATTATTCATCCTGGCATACCAATGACATGCAATTTCTGGCCTCTGTGCATAGGCTGTACTCTGTCTAGAATCATCTTCCCTACAACATGAGTCTGCAGAGGCTAGATTGATCTGTGATAAAAAAAAAAAATCCTTCAAATCTCAGTGAAATAAAACCACAAAGATTTATTTACTACTCCAGCTGTACAAATTCAACATGGGTCATGGAGGACGCTTCTCTGCTGTATTCCTCACTTTGGTGCCAAAGACCTGTGGGGTGACCCATAGCTGGAATGTTACTTAAACACGTCAACTCACACACTGGTTCTCTTAAAGCTTCCACCCAGAAGTAGAACAAGTTATTGATCAAAGTAAGTGATGGTGTGGCATGTGAGTGCTCAGTCATGTCTGACTCTGCAACCCCATAGACTGTAAACCACCAGGCTCCTCTGTTCATGGAATTTTCCTGGCAAGAAATACTGAAATGGGCTGCCATCTCCTTCTCCGGGGATCTTCCCAACCCAGGGATCAAGCCTTCATCTCGTGTCTCCTGCATTGGCAGGTAGACTCTTTATCACTTGCTCTACCAAG